TTGTTCTGACCCCCCCCGTGCCCCCCCCCATGATTGTATAGGCACAATTGTTCTGACCCCCCCCCCGTCCCCCCCAAAAAATACAGTGTGCCCTCTTACTCTTCCGTTTTAAAATAAAAATCCCTCTTTCAAAATTATGTTTGCGCGCAAATTCCTAAGATTCTGACGTACATGTAACTCTGAGTCATACTACAATATCTATGTAAACAGGGTCCCCCTAATTCTGCCTGCCATTCATTGACATTTGCAGACTTTCTTCTCTCTACCATTGACCAACCGGGCGATGACATCATTTTATTTATTTTCTTTTTTTTTTCAAAATTTTCTAACTGCACTGAAAAGTGCAGAGAAACAACCAGAGAAATATATGTGAATGATCTACTTCCTTGTTTAAACTTATCTACTATTACTTTAAGCAGTATCTGGTAGCTTAAATATATGTCAGTGCAATAAAAATATTCTGTGGAAAAAATTATTTATGACCTAACATAAAACCAACGTGATGAATCTTAAAGGAGGGATAGGTGGATTAAATGAGATAACGAGGGGAGTGGGGGGCGTATCACCAGATTGAGGCCCGTGACTTAAGACCAGATTGCACTGGTTCTAGACTTATCAGTCTTTAATGAACAACGCAGGTGAGATACCCGGTGGGAGTAGTTGCCTATCGTCAAGCTACATGTAGGTGCAAGACCCATGCTCGTCCCTTACATTAATTGCAANACCAGAGAAATATACGTGAATGATCTACTTCCTTGTTTAAACTTATCTACTATTACTTTAAGCTGTATCTGGTAGCTTAAATATATGTCAGTGCAATAAAAATATTCTGTGGAAAAAATGATTTATGACCTAACATAAAACCAACGTGATGAATCTTAAAGGAGGGATAGGTGGATTAAATGAGATAACGAGGGGAGTGGGGGGCGTATCACCAGATTGATGCCCGTGACTTAAGACCAGATTGCACTGGTTCTAGACTTATCAGTATTTAATGAACAACGCAGGTGAGATACCCGGTGGAAGTAGTTGCCTATCGTCAAGTTACATGTATGTGTAAGACCCATGCTCGTCCCTTACATTAATTGCATGTAATTTCTTATAACTTTGAGCAAATATTGTTTGTCATCCAGTAGAATAAGAATGAGGAATATAAATAGCTCTGATACTGTAACTAACATTAAGTAACTGACTGACGTTGCGATCTCAACCTGAGACCTTTCACTTAGTGGACGGACTGGTCAACTGATCTATTGTCATACGGCTAGGAATGCTTTTTAACCTCTCGCGGATATGGGGCACTGGAGACTATTTCTGTGACGTGCAGAAAATCTGGTGTTTTTTAATTGTGCAAATTCATCACTTTATATTTCATGGGAATCTTAATTTAACATATTAACATTAACGTACTGTATGTGCTTTAATAGGGTCCTCTCCATGGTAATTGAATGAGTCGCTGTTGGCTGTGTTATGAAATACAGCTTGAAATTCCAACTTCCTATGATGTTGCGTGTGATTTCTAGACACCCGGGTTCTTTCTGCGGGTTAGTTGGTGCCCCTTACACCAATCGCAAGAACCTTATGCGAAAATGAACTATCCAGCACACGCCCCCTGCATCAAGACACGTTGATTACATATTGATACCAAAGCAATACGAACGAGTAATCAAATGCGACAATCAAAGTATGTTCTTAACTAGTATATTAGAGTTTACCCAAAGCCAAAGTATCAAAATATATTTGTGTATTCATGTTCATTTGTGTACTTACTCTGGGTGTTCAACTGGAAATGTAGCGCTGGTTGATGCCGACATTGTGACTCCGTTGCTGACAGAAAAGACACTCTTCGTTACTAGCATCCACATAATTCTACATTTATATTCTTAACGGGACAAGTAGAGACTTTTATTCTTTTATTCAAAAGCTGTTTTGACAATGATAGACCACAAATTAGATTTAAATTTGTCAAGGTTTCCAAGGGCGCTGAGCTCTGATAACCCTGACATTTTTCTATTCACACTCAGCACGCTTGAAATTATATGTTACCCAAGTAATTACATACCTTGGTTTTCTTTGTCCCAAATCTGCCCATGAAATAAAGCATATATGTACTGAACTTACTTATGCAGTTTCCATTCAAGCTTAGGCTTTTTGTCACATCATTTAACTTTGAATAGTTTATGTTCGATATTCTTTTTACCTTACAAGTGTATTTAGCGTAGAAAAATAATCTGTAAATTACACATCCATACTTAATTGCCGATGCAAAAAGTTGTGTAAATGGTCACGTACACTTACCTGTAGTGCACTTACCTATAGGGTAGGCTGCAGTGCCACTGATAATCTGAACACTAATATTTCAAAGAATCAAATCAACTTTGATCGAGGACCGTACATGGCCTATGTCACATGACGCGATATACATATAGTGATATATTTCCGTTATTATCTTATAACACTGTCCCACTGTGGCTACATTACATGACGTTTTCTGTCATATGTTGCGAGATTATATTATCTTAATCCAACATGAAGCGGTTATTTCCAGAAAACCCATGCTGACATGGCGGTGAAGATAACCGAAGAATATAAATAATAAAAGGACAGAAAATAGAGTTTATCATTTCTGAACTTTACTTTTCAGGTGACGGGGCAATCAGGACTGTTGTCACCCTAATACGTTGACAAATAACGCCGGTTACACGTGTAGAGCCTCATCTTCCTTAGCGCGTGCAAGCGCCAGAGAAGTAGCTCGTTTAGGCAAACAGTGGTCTCCGTAACGAACTAAAAGGAAAAAAACAAGCATTTCTTCTTCCTTGAACACTACATGCAGTACCTGTATAATTAATAGCACAGCTCTCTTAGTCTTCCATTTTCTCAATTTAATACTTTCCGAGCGAATCGACTTAAAAACTGTGCCTCTACTTCAGCAACCATAGTTTTCGCCAATTTCTCCCCCCCCCCCTTCAATTTTTTTCCTATGGTAATACTATGCCACTATACTCGTAACAAGAGACTTTGTTATTGGAATGCTCTTTTTATTGAAGTAAAATCAAAATAAGAAAGTCACACATTTGGTGTTAAGTAAATAAAGCTATGTATATATATATTTATGTCCATGTCATAAAATGTTTTGTTAACTTATACTAATAATTTAAGTCATTAAATGTTTGTGGGCAACCTTTGTTAAGAATATAACCCACAAAAAGGATGAAATACCCCTATCAAGTGCAAAGTAGTGGCAGTAGAGATGAATTAAATCCTTATTCATTAAAATCAATTACTTTCATTAAGTAATATCAGGAATACATGATACAAATATATTTGTTGTCCACTAAATACAAATGTTAGAGATAAAAGATAAATGTCAGATAAATCCGTGCCAACAGTTCCATATTTTAATTGCTACAGACCCAATTCATAACTCCCAGATGCAAATAATATAAATATTTAATGGACTAATTACCCACATAATACTGATCACTATTATCTGACTGATGGCATCAAGAAAAATACACCATAACTGACTTTATAGTCTGTGTCCAAAGAAATTCAACTAGTTTTAAATTATCACAATCATAATACTGCCAACAACAGGATTTTCTGGCTATATGGTACAGAGCTAACAAAACTCATCGAGCAAGAAAATTTATCAATTCTCATATAATAATAATAATAATAATAATAATAATAATAAACATACAAATAAATAAATAAATAACAACACTTTCAACAGATAATTGGTTCACTCATCAATGCGTGAAAAGGAAACTTTTCTAACGCAATAACATGCAAACATACCAGTCACAGTAACTTTTTTCTAAAATAACTTTTCATTTCAGTGGGAACTTTGCTGCTTCTTACTGATGTAAACATGACACTGAGTAACTAAGAAGGGCTTTAGGGGCAGAATTCGATAACAAAAAATAATACATTGTTTTATCAAACAGCAATTCTGATTTATGCATTTCTGGAAGGTTTCTCTACTAAAGTTTCAAAACCTGCCTAAGTAATTCTAGATAATTAAATCACATAAGATTTTACCTTTAAAATCTCAGGTTAATTTGTACATTAGCATAGTACCATAGTAGTACAGGTTATGTGTAACATCAAAACATATCCATAGTTAAATATTTTTGTAACATACTTTTGTTGAAAAATACTTATCTGAGTGTGATGGTTATAATTTTTTACCTCATTGTATATAACATGGTTTGAATTCAATACTCAATTGAGCAAGCAAAGAATCTTATAAAGTAATCTTTTGCTCTGTAAATGTATATCTGCAATATAATCAACATGAAAAATATATTGTATCTTCTTAAAATAATATAACACATTATCACTAGCTTAATCTTATGTATTTATACTGAACTTGCAATTAATAACTTGTCTTTTCAAGAGTTTTGAGCAAGATAAAATGTTTACATCGATTTATAAATAATTTTTTCTACTTTTACCTCATTACCCCAAAACACAGTAATGTTTACAGTAGTGTTTAAACAGTTCCAAAGCAGTTTTGATGTCTAGGTAAATGTTGTCAATAAATTACATGTAGGAACATGATTCCCTATCATCAGGAACATGATTTAAATGGCTCTAGATCTGCTCCCTCAAACTATACTCAATGATGTACACATCGCACTTGTCATTAATACAAACTTTCTTTCCACACTCATCATGGACTACTTCACGACCATTAGGCATTACTGTGACCTTTGTCATACCGTAATACTGGAATCCATCTGCTAAGCTTCTCCAAAACCTCTGTTTTCACAGTAAAACAAATGTTATTGCCCTTAATAATAGAAACTGTTTTAAAATATAGGATTGACTTTATTGTATTCTAATAGAGTCAAAACAGGTATTAAGTGATACCAGGACAGACCAACCAGACAGTAAGACTAGGTTCCCATCCCTAGATCGATCTAACAGGATCAGTCCATCTCCATGGGGTTTCTTGCTAAACTGTTTTCAGCTTAAGCGGCTTAGATGTCTGGCACGCCTAGCAGCTTCAGTAGGCGTGACAGACATCTAAGCAGCTTAAGTTAATTGCAATTAAGCAAGAATCCCCTTGGAGATAGTTTGATCCAAAGTTAGTACAATAGACCTCTGGGAATGGTCTCTAAGACTTAAGTGGACACAAACATGTACAAGAGAAGTGCTTAACTGTATGCCATCTTACTGTCACATAATCCTCTTAAACATAATGCATAGCAAGTTCTCACAACAGAAATAAAGTGCAATTTCACATTTCCCATAATTTGCAATAATTAAAAAAGAAACTCATCATGGCACGGTGTAAGAAATTTCTTGTCTTAAGTTATTTAACAAACGGCTTGACTACACTCAAAGCACCCTTTCTGCAATTCAAAATCATTGAAAATTTGATTTTGTTCAAACATAAAAAGTGTAGGGGTTTGATCTAGTCATTAATATTGTTCACAACACATTAACATTGTACTTTGTTCCTACTTTTATAGGCAAACTTTCAAGCAATGTCTCCAAGCCTGACACTTGGAAAGGACAGCCAGTTTCACAAACATGAACATTAGCATTGATGACGCCATACAAGTAGGCCATCCAAATTCAATTTTCATTATATGTTGCTTGTTTTTATCCTGCAAACAAGTGGAGAAAACCAACAGCACATTCAGACCAAGTGGATCAGCAGACTAAGGCTCTATTCCCATAGATTTTAGATCGATCTATCCCCGCGGGGAGTCTCACTAGATTACTTTCAGATAATCCGATTTAAATGTCCGTCCCGCCTACTACAAGCTGTAAGGGGGTAATTAACTTTCGTGTCCGCCCGGCTGACAGCTATTTAGCGTGAACCCCCAGGGAGTTAGGTCGATCTAAAGTAGGTCGATCTAATCTATGGAAATGGGGTGTTACAGATCTGCAGACTAAATATGGCTGATCCACTTAAAAGCACTGCTGCTAATACTCTGATGGTCTCCCCGCCTCCACACACCATCCCTGTAGAGGCCTAGCAATTAAACCTCAGAGCAGAGATTTAATCAGTTTAATGGCATGTGTGGAGGCGGGGACACCATTAGGGAATTAAGCGGCTTGCTTTTAAGTGGGGTCAGCCATATTTAGTAGGCAGATCAGTTAGTCTGCGGATCATCAGTTCTGAATGCCCTCCAAGATAAGATAAATGCTGCACCTTTGTAAACATATATTATAATTAAGTACATTTGCCCCGTGGATTCATGTCTTAGGTTAACAAATTAGACAAAAATAAGGTTTTAAGTAGATTGCCAGTGAATAGATTCTGTAAGTGAGAAATCTTAATTATTTTCTTCAACCTGTTTTACTCCACATAACTTCATCACTCTCCCCCAATTAATTATCAATCTTTTTCTTTATCCAAGAGTTTGTAACTTTGACCTGGATAAAATATTGCAAAAAAACTATCCCAGAATGGGGCCAGATTTACGTGACCTTGTCTCTATAATTATGGTTGTAAGCTACCCTTATCTCACCATTGGCTCCACTCTGGCTAGGTGTTTTAACACCACTGGAGTTACTGTCAAAATGCTCCAGATCTTCCATCATGGCATTGGCATCAATCATATTGTGGTAGTCATTCTCTAGCATGGAGGCACTATCCTCGTCATTGTCCCGAACTTCAATAGTCCAAAATTGACCAGGTCGCCGAACTTTCCAGTGCTTGTAGCGCCTGTATCCAAAGTACCCTCCAACTGCTAACAATATTAAAAGAGCGGCTACACTGCAGCCTGCTATAAGTCCTTTGGTTGGTCCATCTAGTCCAGCACCAGAGGAAGGTGAAGAACAGACTGTTGCTGAAAAAAATTTAGTACAGTCAATGTCACAAGTTGTCTTCTACGTGAATCATAAACATGTGGACGGTGGCAACTGTGGAAGTTTTTGTTTTTATATTTCGTAGCTTACTGGTCTGTTAGAAATTAAGGCTGCATTCCCACAGATTTAGATCGATCCATCTGGATCAACCTAACTCCCTCTGGGTTCATGCTAAATTGCTGTCAGTCGAGCTCGCACTACAGTTAATTACCGCCTTACAGCTTTTAGTAGGCGGGACAGACATTTAAGCTGGTTAAGCTGACACCAATCTAGCGAGACTCCCCAAGGGGATAGATCGATCTAAAAATCTGTGGGAATGCAGTCTGCGATATCTCATTCCTTTAATGCCAAAGGAATGATTGTGCAGAAAGTCTGTTTGTTCCAACTTTCAAATGCTACACTAAACTTCCTTAATCTTTTCTTGCTACTAGTAATGCAAATTGGATGATTTTGATGACAGATAAGACTCTGAAAGTCTGTCAGCCTGAAAGAAAGGATCTTAATATGTATGGCTTAAATCTGCCCCCTGCTGAAATCATACAGTATATATACCACCATGTACCAACCTGAGTCCTGGCAGGGCAGACACGGCCCCTGCTCCTGATCTTTGTAGTACCCAAAGTTACACTGGTCACAATATGGTCCAGCATAGCCTTCTTCACACTCACATAGCCAATCATGCTCAGCTGGACAAATAAACAATACTAAGGTCTGTACTTAAAATATTAATGCTTTCTACAAAGCACAGCTAAGTGTGTTATTATATAACTGGTTACATGTATAAAATTTGACTTTTGATAAAAGGTAAAAATGCACTGCCTTCAGGTAAAAACAATTACCTGAATGGAGAAATCATTTACTTTTTTAAACAATAATTATGGCATAAAAATAATTGTGACTTATGAATGGCAACTTCAAAGCAGAGAGAGAGAGAGAGAGAGAAAGACTCTGACTTACCAGAGATAATACATTTCCCCTTGCAGGGACAGTAGGAACAGTAACTTTCATTCTTTGGTCTCACATATCCAGATGCACACTTATGGCATTGGTTTCCTTCATAACCCATCTTACATACACACACTCCAGTTGTTGTATTGCACAAGGGTTCGTGACTGGGAGTTTCAGTACCAGCTTTATCACAATTGCAGGCTAGAATAATACAAAAAATGCACTTTATCATTAATACCAAAAATTGGTCAAAATTTATTCATGAATACTAAAATTTACTCACCTGCTTTTCTTTTTTTCTTTTATGTTTTTTTTTATTTTTCTTTTATTTTTTTTACAAATATGCACTGTAAATAAAGTTTGGGGATAGGACAGTGAACATACTACTAATAAGTTCATGAAGAATATAAATTTCTACCAGGCCCTTACATCTGTCTGGCCCATATCCTTTAGTCATAGTTGTTTGCACCGTGGAGTTGACAGCAGGAGTGGATGAGAACACTGCCTGAACATACACCCAATATCTGGTACCTCTCTCAAGATCTCTGATAACTGATGTTGTTGAACTGCTGTTTGTTACATTGATAGCCTTGATTTCTAACATAAAATATATGATAATAGAATTGCATACATGTAAAATATGGTATATACTCATGGTACTACAATGCATATCGAATTATGTTGTGGATAGACATATTTAGCGTGAATACAACTTCCGCTGCACCTCCTGGTTCTCTTTTGAATAACTAATCCAGAATATCACATACTGCAAAGACACTCTGAACAGGGATTCAAATGTCTGAGGAATATCTTTATTTAAGACAAAGGCGAAGATAGACCCACAATAATCTTTGGACTTTTAGAACAGACACTGCTTTTTTTAACATTTTCACTGATACTTCACTGTTTGATTTACCTCCTTTGGAATCTCCTACATGGATGACATATATCTCCACTGTATTGTTTCCTGATATAGTCGTCCATCTTATGCTGAAGCTCGTCATCTCACTGTTCAGCACAGTAACATCAAACATCGGCCCTGCATATGAAATAGAATGATCTCAATGAATGTCAGTGCAACGTACCAGTAATTCAAACTGCGTTGTACGCGTAGTACACAAACGTTATTGTACAAAGTTTTTTCTCCTTTGGAGGAGAGAACCATGTAACGTAATTTTTGTATTTTTTCTATATACACAGAATTGTTCATAATAGACTTCTTTCTTTATAAATGACACTATACTTACCATTTCTCGCCGACTTTGGCGACGTGTTTGCCCCAGTCAGGTGCTCTGGTCCGGCCAATGCACCCGAAAATACTGGTCCTCTTTGTCCTACCAGCCCCAGTAGGAGAATCCAGGCCAACGCCTGCAAACTTTCCATACCTCGTCAAATAGCATCCAACTCACTTGCCATTTCAAATTTCTGTAAGCGATTAAGCGAGCAAAAAAATATCAACAAGTGGACAAAATTTGTGAATAAATATTTAATGTCATGTTGATTTCTACCTCTTCTTAGTGGAGAGTTCTTCCGTGTACTTCCGTTTTAGATGCCTTTCTCACTTCCGATGTAAATACCGATGTGCATCACCAGTCGCTCACAGTGTTCAGGTGCGTCAAGGGACATTCAGGCCACTTTACACTCGGGCCCATTTGTTTTATGTGTTTATTTATAACGGGATTAATGAAGACGTTAATATTCTACAGGCGTCATCTCTCGAATCAAATCCTGACAGGCAGAATTCGTCTGTCACCAACGACGCAGTAATCTACACGAACGAGTGCCTGCCGTACGTGACCAGAGTAATAAGTTGAAGACGACTCGTGCTTTGTCTAATTACTTTTCCCTCACTCTTCCTTTGTTTGAAAGAAGGGTGCAGGTGTGAGCTTTAACATTGACTAACGTTTTGGTTAATAGGTGTGCTCGCAGTATAAGGTCGACAAACAAAAACCTTCATGCCTACAAATGAGATCGTCATTCGGAATGAAATGAGAACCTTTTGGTCACCGGATTCAGAACACATGGGAAAACTGATTGGTTACAAAAACTGCTTGCTGTGTTATCAAACAAAACCGTGCTGGGAATTGTAGAACACGCAGCTGACACTGAAACACTCAGCTCTGCTACTAATTGTAAAAGGGACCTAAGTTATCATAATCTACAGAAAAAAAATGAATTCCTTCCGGGACTCCGAGACGAACGAACTGCTCACAACTTCTCCAGTTGAAAGGCTGCACCTCTGTATTCGTAACGGCAAAAATAATGATCTGGTGAAGGAGATGATAACACAAGGTATAGATTTTTTTTTATCAATGCATCTACCGGTATATTACTCAGTCTGTCAATCGGGCAAACGGTATAGGCTATAGGGGCCTGGGCCTATATGTAGGCCTATTCAGGTACCAGTAGAAGCAACCCATCTTCATACCAGTAAATTATACATGTCCTATGCCAGGTACATTTCCGATTTGCACATTACCATTACGCAATATAAACGATTATTGTCACTCCTAACTTAGGCCTACATTCTTACATGTACAGTACATATATGATGCTGTACAAGAAGAGGCGGATACATGGGGGGGGGGGGGGCACGTGTTCCTTGTTCAAGATTCTTCCCCTCCTCTTCCTCTAATCTTGGTGCACGTTGAAGTCTTTCAGGGCGACAGAGTTTCACTAGGTGTCCACAAATAACTCCCTAGGTGATTCTGTGCACATTTTCTAGTTTGTGCATGTAGACTCTCCTGTCCAGCGTATGTTTTTGTTTTTTTTTTTTTGCACAGCAATGACTTAAGCACTGCAACCGGCCTCTGGGAGAAAGAAGGCAATGCGGGTTTTTATATGATAATGGTTTTGAATGTAAGCGTGTAGTGAAAATTCAAGCATTTCAGTTTTTATGTAATTCCGTTTTTTTTTTTGAAAACCTGCATAGGCTGATTCTGAACGACAAAGAGAATGTGGGACCATTCCTCTGGTTTTGCCACGAACTTAAAATTATGCAAATTTCTGGCGTCATCGAGAAATTTCTGGAGTTAATTGGCAAATTATTGACTTTTTAAAGTCGAAAATACGCGATTAATAAACAGAAATTAACTTCATTTTGAAACCTTTTTATTACTTGATCTCAGTCACGTAAATGGTTTTGCATATCTTTTTTATTTTGCCCTGCTGACATAACTTATTTCCATCGACCGGTAGTAATTTCTTTGCTTGATTAAAAGACGTATCACGCTCTTGCGACATACCTTCGTTTATATTGCATAACTATTTATATAAATTAAGGACTGCATGTATCCCACGTTTGAAAACTATGGCACAGTTGTATTAATAGCAAACGGTAGGACATTGCAGTGCATAATTAAGTATACATGTATAATAAAAATAGTATTTTTCCAATACAGAATGTATGTTTTAAATTTTCACGAGTCTGATAACCATGCCCTACGAGTTAGGCATTAAATATTAAAGTAAGCAGTGCACGTACTGCATGTACGCGTGTGTGTGTGTTTGCGTGCGCGGGTGCTTTCGTGCGTGTGTTTTTGTGAGCTATTTAATGAGCAGTGTCAGTAAAAACTATGTCTTTTCCATTGCAGGTACAGTGAGCCCCATGGCAGAAGTGGAAACGAACTTTACTAGTCCTCTAGGTAGTGCATATTTATATCAGAAAAGTGTATAATACAATGTGTGTGTTTGTTATTATACCAGAGGATTCTCCATTTATATTTTTGCTGTGATGCTAGAAAAGTTTAAAAGCATGGCATTTGAAGTAAAAGAAATTCTTCGGCGTCTATTTTTATTTTCTTTTAAGTTTATTTATAAAAGGACATTACGTGTTCACGACCTGAAGTTCGTTAAGCGTCGTCTTCGAGTCTCTTCATTCAGTCATTTTTCATTGGTTCTAGTACATTTCCAACAAATGCTGTGACCTGCATGTGACAACCATGTAATACAATAATGACATGTTAATTGAGCAGTAAATTTTATCGCTCTAAACCAAATTCTCAATTTATCTATTGTATTACTTTTACAGCATATTATCAAACTTGCTCCAGAAGAAAAATGATTTCCGATTTTTATAATTGGCTAAATAAACTTTTATTTTATCTTATTTTCTTTGTTTCAAATCTAGGAACAGCCATCGAGAGCAACAACCATGAGATTGTGGAGTATCTCGTGGCGCACCCTGGGTGTGACGTAAACGTCGGGAGTCGTAGGGGCCGTCCAGCCATCTACATGGCGGCAAAGAAAGGTTCTGCCCGGATTGTTCAAGCTTTACTGCATGGAGGCGCGAATATGGAACTCAAAGGACTCGATGGTGAACGATTTTGATGAACGTCCTGTTTGTATGGTCCTTGAATAAATCAATAACGTGTCATAGATTTATTATCTTGTAACAGAGCTATAGTATATGTCATAAGGTATATGAGTTTAAGCGCTCTTTGTTTATGTTTGTGAACGTTGCACATGGTACTGGGATACAGTGTACACTTAAGAGTAGATTCCACAACCGCTTACCACTAAAATTTATGAGAGAATTAAAAAAGTTTGAAACATATAGGGCCTACCTGTATGTACATGTGATTTTACCTTCAAGTGTTGACCGAGTCTAAGAGCCATTTGATACCTTGGTTTCACCATAAGCCGCTGTGTTTATTCTGTGGATGAGTTAGTTATATCAGAGGCGTAAGTTCTTACATGTAGGTGTCGCATGCGTGCGTCCCAGGAAAATTAAAAGTTATGTTCTTTCCTACCCAGCTACCCGTGAAAGACTTTTTATTTGACTTTTAATTTTAATAGTTAACACTCGATAATGTTTTGAAGTGACACTTTTATCATACCACTTGGTTGTTTTAAATTTAAAAGTATAGCTGGGTTGTCATTGAACGTGTTGCAACTGTTTTGATGCCAGGTGATAGCGCCCTCCTTGTGGCAGTTCGCAGTGGTCACCAAGAGGTGGTCAGAGTGCTGGTCGAGGCAGGCTGTGATCTAGACGCCAAAGATAATGCCAACACCTCAGCCATTCATCTTGCGGCTCTGAACGGACACGAAGAAATTGCACGTGTAAGTATGATATACTTATTGGTGGATAAATATACCGGTATGTAGGAGTGACGCGTGATATCGGACCTGGTACGTGTTATATTCGTGCCATCAGCTATCGCCAAAACTTCAATATGCACACATAGGCCTACATGTAGGCCTACACTACAACTGTAAGTATAGTAACTTCGTATGTGACAAGTATATAACTGTTTAAATAATTTTCTGGTCAGTACTTTTATTTTCCTTGACAGTCTGGAGAACTGTTCCTGAATAGTATGCAGGTTCTTATTTTATAATACGTTTTTTATCTAGTTCTTATTAGAGAAGGGGTGCGACCCAAATGCCATTGCCTCTCCTAAGTCAACCAAAGAAATGAAAATAGACCCAAGTTTAGGCATACGTCCACTTCATTATGCTGCGCACATAGGCAACAGCAATTTAGCCCGGTTATTGGTGGCACACGGCGCGGATGTTGACGCCAAATCCTACGGGTATCGTACGCCACTTCACACAGCCGCCACGTGGGACAGCTCCGAAGTGGTAGATGTTTTAGTGGAGGCCGGGTGTGACGTCAATGCACAAAGTCAGGAGGGAGATCAAAGAAAGACGGCACTTGGGATGGCCGTTGACGGTGGACTGGAGAAAATCGTGCGAAAACTTCTTGCAGCTGGTGCAAGCGTTGGTCTTGGTAGCCCTCTTCTTACGGCTATATACCAAGGTATTTGGATTACACTTTACACTTTATAAGCTTTAAAAATAATCATTTAAAGTAACTTTATAATAAAAAACGCTTAGAGTCTTAACTTTGGCCTACTAGATTTCCGTTTATTTTTGGTTTACTTAGATTATTCCAGTAATGGTAGTTAAGTTCGTCGAAATTTGACGACTGCTCAATATGCGATGAAAATTACCTAGTAACAGGACAAATCTATGCTTTATTTCCAGGTAATGAGCACATCGTGTTAAGTCTCCTCCAGGCCGGCGCCGATGTCAATCAGCAGTCACATAACGGGACCACAGCGTTCCAGTTATCACTACAATATCTGCCCACCCTCCCGCTCTTACTCCTACTAGCAGGCTGCAAGCTAACGGAAGAAGACAAGAACAAGCTGCAGAATACGTTAAGAAGTCAAACCAAAGACTTTGTATCAGCGGAGGCTGATATACTGGCTGATATGGCGTTTGGCGTGCACCCATTGAAGTGCATGTGCCGTTGTGTTATACGGCAACAAATGGGAGTGTTGGTGCGGACGGACACCCAGTATCTGCCGTTACCCAGGCCTTTAATAGGGTTTGTTGGTCTGATGGATATGGAGTCTGGGTGAGATTAAGACATGGCTTTCTGATGCAGGAAGTGTAGTTTAGAACCTGCTAATGAAATACTACAGTATAGCAAACGCTTACGAGTTATTAGCGCATTGTAACCAATGAGCAATTGCAGGTAATGTGAAATCATCATTCGGAAGCAACATAGGCTACAAGTGTACATATTGCCTGACAGGTCTTGTGTCTAAAAAGATCAGAGCATCGCTGCCAGTGGAAATTATTAAGGCGTCTTTTGAATTTGAAATTATCTTGGATTGTTGCATGATTTTACGCATTTTTTTCATTATGTGAAACAGT